AGGAAAAAAAAATGTTGACTCTTTCTCATCTTCCAAACATCATCCTAGATGTCACCTCCTCAGAGAGGACATCTAAGATGGTAAAGCCCCTCTCTATCACCATTTCCTGACCAGATCCTTGGGAGAAGTTATTCTAATTTCTCATTTAATTAATTTATGCCTGCTCCCTGTCTTTTTTTATATCCCCAGATTATAAACTTCAAAAGAATTTGGATACATGTGTGTTTAAATTGAACTGTTTAGCCAGTTTATATTTCATGATAGGCATTTAATACATATCTATCGAATGAATGATAATATTATCAAGATGAAAAATTTCATAAGTCCATCTTTAAGATGATACTCTAATTGTGTTAATGTTTTCAATATTGGCTGACCCGTGAATGGCAGGTCCCTTTATTTTTTTGTGGAGTAATTAACAAACTTTTATTAAGTGCCCACTGTTTGCCAGGACCTGTGCTAGGTGATGGGGATAATGGGGCTTCAGGGAGTGCTCAGTCTAGCAAGGATGACAAATAAAATAGGTGAATAAGATCTAGGGAGATGTGGGATGTGATATGAGCAGTACGGGGTGTTGGAGCAGCATTGAATCAGCTATTTCCTGAGCTTTATGAGAGCTGCAGCTGATGTTTCTCCACTAAAGTCACTCTGTGACATCCACTCAAGCCGAACCACTTCAGACCTAAAACACTGATTGGAGATATCTGTAGGTTTGTATGGAAAGATCATAATACACTTTTAAAAGAAGAGCGTAAATATATTTATTGTAAGAGGCTGACACCACAATAAGCAAGAAGCCAGCAGAATAGCTTCATCTCTGCAAAGTCTGATTTTATAAAGTGCCATCTCTAATTCTTTTCTCCTTCTTTCTATTCTCCACAACCCCCTTTTCCTTCTCTCTCTCTCTCTCTCTCTCTCTTCTCTCACACAGCTCAGACACAAGACATGGAGAAGCAAATGTTTTCTGACTAGATGACTTCAGCGGATTAGCGCTTCTTTGAAAGTGATATTGTTACAGCCATAACGTGTTTATGTGTAACACAGACATCTTTATGTATAACGCAGACGTGTCTGGGTGGGGAACGTTAGCATTCTGGCCTCGTCATTTAGTAAGGTAGGAAGTTCAGCTCCAGATCCCTAAAGCTTTGGGGAATCTTGATACAGGGCAAAGGGGGAACCAGCAAGAACAGGAGAGATTTCTTTATGGGTTATTTATCTTTTTGTCCCCCCTAACTCTCCTGGGCTTAACTCCTACTCTCTGAGAAACAGTCATTTTCCAACACAGCTGGGATGGCTGTCAGCAGAGGTACCTTCTTAAGGACAGCAATCAAAAAAAAGGGGGGAGGGGGTCAGGCAATTAGAAACTGCTGGTAAATCACAGAGACACCACCTGAGTTATATTTTATAATCACCTGATGGCAAAACATTTATTTCAGACATTGACACACTATCACAAAGGAAACCAATCAGAGGAAACAGTCTCTCAGCATTTTTCTTGATCATGAAAACTTTTTGTTTCAACAATTTTAAAACTGTTTATTATTGTTCTATATAAATTATGAAAGTCACCCATAATTTATAATTTACCGTAACAAAATCAAACAATTCGAAAGTACATAAAGTCAAAAAGTTAAAGTACAGCCCTTCCTCTACCCTGGGCTCAAAAGCAGACAGCCAGTGGCAATATAACAGCCTCATACGTAATTTAAATGTTTCTAGTGGCCACATTAAAAAAGTAAAAAGAGCTCAGAGCAGTGGCACGTTCTTGTAAGGCCAGTGACTTGGAAGGCTGAGGGTAGGTTCAAGACCAGCCTGGGCAACTTACTGAGACTTTGTCTCAAAGTAAAAGATAAAAAAGGGACTGGGGATGTAGCTCAGTGGTAAAGCACTCCTGGATTCAATCCCCAGTACTGCCATAAATAAATAAATAGATAAATAAATAAACAGATAAGTAAATAAAAGAAGAGGCAGCAGCAGCACATGAGCTGGGCCTGACGCACGCCTATAATCCCAGCGGCTCAGGAGGCTGAGACAGGAGGATCTCGAGTTCAAAGCCAGCAGTAGCAAAAGTGAGTCACTAAGAAACTCAGTGAGACCCTGTCTTTAAGTAAAATACAAATAGGGCTGGGGACGTGGCTCAGTGGCCGAGTACCCCTAAGTTCAATCCCCTATACCAAACAAACAAACAAAGTAGGTAAAATTAATTTTAGTAATATATTTTATTTAAACCAATGTATCTGAACAATTATTTCAATAAGTAATCAGCATTATCAAATTATTAGTGAGATAAAATTTTTATTGACTTTTTTCATTGTTTTTTTTTGTAGTTAGTCTCCTACATTTGGTTGTATTTTACACTTGCAACAAATCTCCATTTGAATGCTAAATTCTTATTGGAGGGGCAGGGCTGTAGCTCAGTGGCAGAGCGCTTACCTTGCATGTGTGAGGCACTGGGTTCAATCCTCAGCACCACATAAAAATAAACAAATAAAATAAAGGCATGCTAACCATCTACAACTACAAAATAAATACATAAAAAGAAATGTCCTCATTTTAAAAATAAATAAATAAATAAATCCTTATTGGAAATACTTGATCTGTACTTAGATTTCATAAAGCAGACAGTTGAAAAGCAGATCTAGTTGAAAAGTAGACTCATATATCCAAGTTGTTGCAAATATACTTAAAAGCTTCCCAATAACTGAATCAGGTACCAAGGTTTTGTTTTTGTTGTCTTTTGTGATACTGGGGATTGAACCCAGGGGCATTCTACCACTGAGTCACCTCTCCATATTTTATTTTGAGACAAGATCTTGCTAAATTCCTGAGTTTGGCCCCAATTTGTAATCCTCCTGCCTTAGCCTCCAGACTGACTGGGATTACAGGTGTGTGTCACTGTGCCCAATCTCAAGTACCAATTTTTAAATTAAAATTGAAGTAGTTAAAATTAAATAAATTAAATTTTCCATTCTTCAGTTATACCAGCAATATTTTGAGTACTCAATAGCCAAATGTGGCTCATGACTACCATATCTTTAGAGAAAACTGCTATTTTCAGTTTGCTATGGAATATTCTCAGTCTTTATGTTTTTAGAAATATAAATACATCATTAAAGAAATTATTTATTACACAACATAATACACATATCTAAATTTCATTTCAGAAAAAAATGCAAATCATACTATGTATTTTACTCAACAACCCATTTTTTTCACCTAGTTATATTTTGAAATTTTTTCTTTCCTGTACATATGGATTTTCATTCTTTCTGATAATTGTGTAATAGATTCATTTAACCATTTCCCTACCATGGGTCATATAAGTTGCTTTTGATGGTTTGCTGTTCTAAATATCCATGTTTACACAATATTTCCATAGAGTATAGCCCAAGAATTGATACTTTTGGGCCAAAGGATGTATGCATTTAAAAACGTGAGAGCCAGGGGCTGGGGTTTTGGCTCAGTAGTAGCGTGCTTGCCTAGCACTGGGTTCAATTCTCAGCACTGCATATAAATAAATAAAGTAAAGGTCCATCAACAACTAATAAAAAAGTGAGAGCTAGTAAACAAATTCCCTTCCCAAATGGTTGTGCCACTTCTATCAGACATTTTAGTCTCTGGTGTTCTTTTCCAGTATCTGTAGATGCTCCAAATACCAGGATCATAAAACATTGCAAAGAAAGGGACTTAGAGCTTGTCTATGACAGTATTTTTATTTTAGAGACTTGGAAAATCAAGCCCAAGCTGAGGGAAGGGGCTATGCAGCTCTCTCTTGTCCTTTGTCCAAAGAGTCTGACAGTCTTTCCAAAGCATCCTTGGGAAGGTCGTCGTCCTTCCTCTGCTCAGGGGCTACCCCTCACCAGCCCTGGATCATTATCAGCCCCACCAGCTAGATCAGCTGGCCTTTGAATGGAGCATCACACCACCCCTCAGTGAGCAAGGAGCTCAGAGTCAAGGGAGCAATTCCTTGACATCTGTATCCAAAATTGAATTCAATCTGCTCAGAGGCTTGCTACAATTTCAAAGTGTGCCTTCCTGCCTCCCTTCTGCTGAGCACAGCCAAGTCACAGACCAAGGCGGAAGGGAAAAAAAAAGGCATTTTGCTGCACGCAGAAATATACTGCTCGGTTCAGCAATTCTCAGCAGGGCAGCTTAGACCCATTTTGCCTTTAATGCAAGGACAGAAACAGAAATGTCCTTCTGTGGGGAAGGTGATTCCCTTTAGCAACCCTTGGGCTAATGAGGCTGGAGAGACTCGAGGCATCTCACATGCCAAGATGGGCTTCTCCTGGGGGCTGCCCCAGCTTCCTCCCTCATGAGTCCCTAGAACTTTACCAGGTCCATGAAGTGGCCAAGTGCAGAAGCTCCTGGAATCAATCTCAACAGGACAGGTTGAGCAGGGAGATTACAGAGACTTCTATGATCATATGTTCACTGCAGGCAAAGCCAGGGCTAGCAACTGTCTCCATCTCCAGAACCTTTTTCTCTTCCCCATCAGTTCCTGGTCCCATCTTAGCCCTGCACAGCCCCATTGGGCCTACATCCTATATTCTCCACCTTCCTGTTCATATCCCCAGCTCAGTTTCATTAGGAGGATCTTAAAAACTTTTGCTTGGGGCTGGGGCTATGGCTCAGCAGTAGCACACTTGCCTGGCATGTGTGAGGCACTGGGTTCGATTCCCAGCACCACATATAAAAATAAATAAATAAAGGTTTATCAACAACTAAAAAAATATTTAAAAAAAAACTTTTGCTTATGCTACACATTTATTTGTTGTTTAAAAAATCAATTCAGATGCCAGAATGGTGGCGCACATCTGTAATCCCAGTGACCTGGGAAGTTGAGGCATGAGGATCACAAGTTCAAGGCCAGCTTCAGCAACTTAACAAAGCCTTAAATAACTGAGCAAGACAAAATAAAAATATTAAAAAGGGTTGGGGATGTAGACCAAAAAAAAAAGACATTTTAATTTTATTTCTTTTTCTTTCTCTTGTCTTACCTTCTCTTTCCACTCAATTGCCACGCTTTCTTCACATATTGGCACCAACAAGCCAAGATTCAGGTAGAAGGAAAGTCTCCTGTTTTTATAACATGTTGCCAGATAGTTCATGCTTCTGTGTCTGGTGTCTCCTTTTGGTCCTTTATTTTATTTTATTTAATTTCTGATGTGTCTTAATGTTGGCAAGAAAGAAAAGAGATATCACAGTAGGAAAAGATGGAAGAGAGGAAAGCAGGGAAACAAAATAAGGATTGATTTCGTGCTGTATTAACACGTCACTGTTAGGCTTCTACTATGTCATCTGAGGCACGTCCTCATCCCCCATGTGCTATCCATCAACAGGACTTGTTGATTTCACCTCCCAAGTTTCTCTCAAGTCTACCTACTCCTTTCTGTTTCAACCATCACCCTAATTCAATCTTCTCCCAATTGGCTCCTGTCAACTTACACCCACTCTTGCTCCTCCTGCATGTTTCCCATTGTAGACAGAATGATCAAAAAGGACCTTTAGGCTTATGCTAAATCCTGCAGAGAATCATCATCATCATCATCACCATCGCTAAAATCTTCAAACACCTACTCTGTGCCAAGAACTTTGTTAGTGTTTTCGTGTCTAAGCCACTTAATCCTCACAATAACCCTAGAGGTAGGTATTATCATTGCTCTCATTTTAGAAATGAAGACATCAAAATACAGAGATGTATGTGATTTAACCAAAGATTTTTAAAGAAATCTTTATTATCTTGCTTTTTTTTCTTTGTACCAGGATTGAACCCAGGGGTACTTAACCACTGAGCAACATCCTAAGGCCTTTTTATTTTTTCATGTAGAGTCTAGAGGCAGGGTCTCATTGAGTTGCTTAGGGCCTTGCTAAGTTGCCAAGGCTGGCTTTAAACTTGGAAACCTCCTGCCTCAGCCTCCTGAAATGCTGGGATTACAGGCATGCACCACACAGCAATTTAAGTGAACTACTTTAGGAACCCAAATCACCAATAAATTCCCAAGTAATTAATATCTCTCTATATAGCAATGTATACAGTAGGTACACCACAGTAGGTATAAACTGTTGTCTAGATACTAGGGAATGGCAAGTGAGTTGCTTCTCACTGATGAATTACAAGTAAGCATATGGGTTGAGAAGGATTGAGGCTACTTCTGGGCTCAGTGGGAAACTGTGAGGGATTAAAAATGTCTATCCTGAGCCTTGTCCTGGTTGGAGCAGGGAGGGTCCTTGTTTTCTATTGCTCATATAACAAATTGCTATAAAACAATACAAATTTGTCATTTTATAGTAATGGAGATCAGACATCCTCACGGGGTCTCTTTAGGCTACAGTGAAGGCACTGGCCTCTCTGCACTAATCTCTGGAGCTCCCTTGGAGAGCCTGCTCCTGGCCTCCCTTGCTCCAGGGGATACCTACCCTCCTCAGCTGCTGGAGCCCTGCAGTACTGTCTCAGTAAAGTCGCACACACTCAGCTTCTGTCCTCAGATCTCTTTCTCTGACTCTTGAGTCACTTTTATAAAGATTCTTGTGATTTCACTGTGTTAAGCCAAATCCAAGATAATCTCCACAATACAAAATCCTCAATTTAACCACATCTGTAAAAATCTCTTTTACTACTCCAGGTAACATATTCACAGGTTCCAGGGATTAGGACAGGGACATCTTTTCAAGGCCATTGTTCTGTCCACCACAGGGGTGATGGCATCTTGTGGTGGTGTGATCTCTGCTCTGATCCAGATCCAAGTCCCATGAATGGATTTCACATCTGACACACAACACACATGTAAATGTTTGATGAATGAATAAGTGAAAGAACTGATAAAACAAATATAAAGGATAAGAGGGTTTCTATCTAGGAGTGTAAGAAAGTGTAAACTGGCAGTGTAAGCTGCCATATTTAACACACAAATTTGAGGAGAATCATTTTTTAAATCTTAATGGGGATCTCACAATTTGGGCAATGCCAAAATTAATAGTGGCAACTGAGGTTAATGTTAAGCAGATTTGAGTGCTGGAGGAACTTTTGGATGTACCAGTCTTTTCTTGACATCTTTGTCTTTTTGGGGGGGATACTGGGGAATGAACTCAGGGGCACCTGTCCACTGAGCCACATCCCCAGCCCTAGTTTCTATTTTATTTAGAGACAGTGTCTCACTGAGTTATTTAGCACCTCGCTTTTTTTGCTAAGGCTGGCTTTGAACTCACCATCTTCCTGCCTTAGCCTCCGGAGCCCTGGGATCGCTACCTGGCAACATCTTTGGCTTTTAACTGTACCAGAAACTAGAGGCTCCTTAAAGCGGAAGTATGCAGAAGTTGGAGGGAAGGATGGGTGAGAAATGGACTCAGGCTTCTGCCAGGAGAACTTCACCTCTCTCGGATGTAGCAGTTGTTCCTGAAGCAGCACCACTCAGTCCCAGGTAGAGTAGGCTCCACCAGGAGCTTCTGCTCTTCTCAGAATTGAGTTCAAGATTCTCAGGACTTATCATCTCCCTCCTACTCCCACCCATTTCTACCTCTCCAGTTTCACCCCTCAGCCCCCCATCTCCAGTCACACTAAGCTTCCCCAGAACCTCCAAGACAACCCCCTTCCTGCCCCAGGGTCTTCTGACATGTGAGTCCCCAATTCTGGAATACTCTTCTACCTTCTTTTGCCCAATGATTCCTACTTAACTTTTTTTTTTTTTTTTTGTACTGGGGATTGAACCCAAGAGCACTTTAACTAGTGAGCCATCTCCCCAGCCCTTTCTATTTTGAGACTGGGTCTCATAAGATTGCTTACAGCCTTGCTTAAGTTGCTGAGGCTGGCTTCAAACCTATGATCCTCCTGCTGCAGCCTCCTGAGCCCCTGAGATATAGGCCTGTGCCACCACACCTGGCCCCTACTTACCTTTGAGGTTCAACTCAAAATAATTTATCACATCCTAAATGCATGTTAACACTCCTATCTATATCATGTCCCCTTCCTTTCCAGGTTATAAAAATGGCTCAGTGTCAAGAACTTGGAATGTGGACTCACTGGTTGACTATATTCTGACTCCACCACTCATTAGCTATATGACCTTAGGTAAGACATGTAGCCCTCATGCTTCTATTTCCTCATCTTCAAGATGGGGCTAATGACAGCATCTACTACAGAGGACTGCTACAAGGATTAAATGAGATAATCCACCCAGAATGTTTGGAAGAGTCCCTGCCCTGTTAGTATAAGCTGTTATGTTCCTTTATGGCACTTATCAAAATCATCAAGATTAAACCATTTTTTCGTTCTTATCTAATATATTTTTCTCCATTAGTAAATCTACAGGGGCAACACAGTATCTTTCTTGTCCTCCACTGTATCTGAGATGCTTAGCCCACTGCCTGCCGTGTTTTAGGCCCTCAGTAGATGGATGGGGAAATGGCTGGATGCATGAACCTATTACTACTCCTAGGCTGGGTGCCAAGAAAAAGTGTCCCCCTTGTCAGGAATAATCACTGTTATTCAAGAACATTGGAGATTTCTAATTACCAGTTTCTGGGCTGATTACCAGCTTAGAGTTCGATGTTGGGCATGTTGCTCGCTGTTTCGTCCTCTCTGGGGCCTGTTCTCACGCAGGGCCTTGTGATGCTCATTGCCAGGCAGATTTATGAAACATCCCAACAGACGCTTACATTCCATATGTTACAATTTACACATTCCTGCTGGGGTCAAGGTGGGGAATGGCATGTGTGTTAATAGCTGCATTTCTTACATGAACTTTCACATAAACCGTCTTCCCAGCTCATTTTACTGATACATTATAATATACTTTTATAAACGACATTTCAAGGTCATGAATGAATGCTTCTTAACTTTCATTTTTAGATAATTACAAGTCTAGAAAGGGCAACTAGAGGAGGTTTCCTAGCCTACCCCCTGTCACTGACCAGAACTCTATCTGAATCATCCTTGCAGATCTCCAAGGAAACAAAGGGGAACATTTTTCTACAGTGTCTCACAATCTGTCTCCAGTTGCCCCTTTCTGTATCCCAAGGATGCATTGGCTCTATGTGGTAATCACGCATTGTCTTTGCAGTTCTAGAAAAAGTGCCTTTTATAGAAAACATTCAACAACATTGTTGAATCCATATGGCCACCATCAAGCCGGTCCATCATATTGCTGGAAACTTCCCACAGCATTTGCTTCTTGGCGAGGAGACAGGCCAACATAAGTCTGTGCCATTTTTTGTTGTTGTTGTTGTTCTGACCTGAATTGTCAGTCAAACTCTATCTTCGGGCCATTTGTCAAAACACCATTGTTTTCTCTCTTCCCTGTGGCAGTTTCATTTCTATTGTTCAAAAAAATCAAAAGTCAGAGCAGCCTCGGGTTGATGGAAACAGGGCTAATTCACTGGGTAGTGTAGTTTGTGGCCACCAGCCAGTCTCACCGTTGGGGTTCAGCAGACTGTGGGAATCACCTCCTGCCAACCAACTTTGGCCCCATCAGGAGACTACAACTCATAAAAGTTTCTGTCACCGATTGTTCTGTTTCAGGGCCACAATATACCGGATGGTGGCTTCCTATGACAGGGCAATTTCTTCTCCCAGCTGTATCTTTATTATAAGAAACTTCTTTCTTATTTATAAGAAGTTTATTAAGAGAAAAACATATCATTAAAAAACCTCAAATATCTGCTAGATCTGCTCTTTGCAGAGTCTTGGGCCTAAAGCTATTACTGAAAAGACACACAGTTTTATGCTAACCTGGATCCGTGTTGTACGGGAACAATAGCAGCAATTTTCACATGAGGATAGCATAGCCAAGACTTTTTTAAAAAATATTTTTGGTTGTAGATAGAAATAACACCTTTAATTTCTTTATTTAGGTTTTTTTTTTTTTTTTTTTTTTAATGTGGTGCTGTGGACTGAACCCAGTGTCTCATATGTGCTAGGTAAGTACTCAACTACTGAGCCACAACCCCAGCCCAAGCTAAGACATTTTTAATGGTGAACTGTTTTCTCCAAATGTTTAATATTATTTACCTAAGAAATGTATTTTAAAATAGAATTTAAGATTTGATTCCTATATTAGGTGTGTTCCAAATGCTGCTTAAGGTAAAAGTGATTTCTCCAAACATTAAATAGGTGAATACTTTGAGCAAGGATAATTGGGAATTGGACAGTTGAGGGGAATCCTGAATAGAAGACTCTATCAACTTCCAAAGAGAAAAATGCCAGTTTCGTATAGGGGCTTAATACTCAGAATGGCTTGAATTTCTCATAAGCAATTCTAGAAGCTAAAAAGTAAAGAACAATGTCTTCAAAATTCAAAGGAAAATTATTTCCAATCTATCACTATAAAACCAGGTAAATACCAATCAATAAGAAGCTAGCATAAAGTCATTTTCAGACACACGAAGCCCCTCCAAGTCCATTCTTCTCATATCCCTCTCTAGACCCTGGGAAGCTCACAGACATGGATTGCATCAGTGGGTTCCCTGGTCTTCCACTTCCAGTAGGGTTTGGCCAATGGGAAATACTGGCAGAGATTGTAGGGAGAAAGAAAAATGAGGTATTCTATTTGTTCCCTGGCTTCCTCCTCTGTCAAATCAGCTTAAATTGACCATATTCCTTCCAGAAGGTTGGTTTCCTCTAAGATAGACCTCTCTACTCTCTTCAGCAACTTGGATTCCTCTGTTTGGGTTCTGAGAGCCACTCCCTCCTCTTGTTCCCTCTCTAAGCCACTGGGATGGTGACAGGCTTCCTGCAGTGGCTGGAGCCAGCGGACTCCACCAACCCTGTTGGCTTCTACCTATATTTTTTTAAATGGGCCCCATGTTAAATGTTCCTAGATTGGTGTATTTGAGTGTGTCTTTAGTATGTCTTATTTCTTGCCGGACCTTGACCCACACTGATGTATGGATGACCAGTCGATGGCTTCTCTCATTTCTCTAAGGCAGTGTGGTAGTTAGGATCAAAGGCTTTAGATTTACATCCTCCGGAGCTTTGCCATTTTCTAGCTGTGGGACTTTGAACAAATGACCAACTTTCCATGCCTCATAAAAAGGGGATGTTTTATAACTGTTGGCCCAGAATATCTGTAAAGACAATTTGAAATTGGCTAAGAAAACATGTAAGAAGTGCTGATGGCTTACTATTATTATTTTCCTTGTGCTATTGCTAGATCCTAAGAGCTGCCTGCTCTACAAAGGGACCAACTGACCCGAATGAAGCCCTAAAGTTTTATTTGTGTATCCTGGGTTGAGAGCGCTGCTCTTGCTTTCTGGGGTGAACCCTAGCAGGCAGGGCAGAGAGTCTTCTAGCAGCTGATTCGTAGCTCTGCACACAGACCTTAATTTGTGATTATTGTGCTCTTTGCCAAAGAAAAAAGTGTAAATGGAACCAAGACACATTTCTCAGAAAAGCTGTGATCCCAAATACCTAAGATCCATGGCTGTCTAAAGTACTTTGGTAAAGTTGGTTCAGCTTTTGAACACTGACTCTCCCTGGGGTACAGAACCCCTCTCTCTTACGGGATACATAAGAAATCCCAGAAAGTCGACCTCAGATGGAATTCTGTCTTCTAGCATATGTGTAAAATGCCAGTTTCTTTTATTTTATTTGTAATATTCCACTAACTCAAGACCTCAGGATGGGGATATTGAAGGAGTATGAGAGTGAGAAGCCCCAACTCAATAAATGAGAGGTCACTGTGAAAGGGAAGAACAGAAGCAAGTTTCCTGTTAAGGGTAGGTAAGGAAAGGATGGAGATTTCAGCAACATACAACACAACTCCCATGATTTGGATGTGTGTGTGAGTATGCACACGTGCATGCACATGCTCATTTGCTTGTATCTGTACATACTCAGAAGCCTCTAGGTTTATAGGGGTATATTTTCTTCAGATATGGGTTAGCTTTGCAATTTAAAAAAATATATATATTTTTTAGTTGTAGATGGACACAATACCTTTATTTTATTTATTTATCTTTATGTGGTGCTGAGGATTAAACCCAGGGCCTCTCACGTGTGAGGTGAGCGTTGTACCACTGAGCCACATCCCCAGCCCAGCTATGCGATTTTTTGAGAGCTTGTTCAAAACCGGAGTGGATGTTTAGTGGAGCCACTTCTTACTTTATTCAGATAAAATATTGGTGTGCTCATAATTCCACCCCTTCTCTGTTCAAATCCAGACCATGAAAATTCAATTTTGGAGAGAGAAGAATGATTCTGAGGGAGGAAAAATCACCTTGAAATAGCAAATTCTTTTTGTAACTCCCACACAGTGCACTGCTATCTACTATAATTAACAACAACAAAATAATTTGAAGGACCCAGCACAGGGTCTGCTAGAATTTGATACAAACAGGAAATGGGTGGGTCCAACTTTAGTTGGCATTGTGTGGTAGAACTATTTTGTGCCAATGCAGTTTAATTTCTCTTTGGTCTTTGGATCTTGGCATGATCCGGCTGGATAGTAGGTTGGACGCTTAGATTTAAGTTATGTCAAGGGTTTATTCCAAAGTGGATCCCCAACATTTAGTAATCTCCAATTCACTTCCTTCTGGAATTCTAAAGCTATACTATCCAGCCCCATGATTGCTGTTGTGTCTACACTGTATACTACATGGTTAAAGGGGTCAATTCAATCTTCCCAGATTCAACTTCCTCATTTAAGACATGGTGATAGTTAACTAATTGAAATAGTGGCTGAGAGAAGGAATGAGGGAAACTAGACACTCAATAAGTGATGGATAATTATAACATTGTGAAAGAAGGGGAGGAGGAGCAGCGTACATTCTAATAACATGAAGAAGTCACTCCATGGAGCCATCTGGGCAATTTAAGAGTGATTTTATAATATGCTTTTTTTTTTTTTTTTTTTTTAAATCTTACCTAACATTTTCTTAAATATGTCCACTAATTTTCCTGATAGGATTATTTCTTCTTTTTTAAGGTTCAGCACTATAATGTTTTAATTATACAATATTTTGGATCTGACATCAAAAAGTGCAGTGTCAGTTTTATCTTTCTCAGCCTTATCCATGTCCTTGGTTACAGATGCCCAGTAATCCTGGGGTCACCCAAGTACTTTTGTTCTAGAGACCTTTCAAAGTAAGCCAAGGCAGAGGTTTAGAAAATGGCTCTTGCTTGTAGACAAAAATACATTAAAATAACCAAGGGAGTGATTATTCCCTGGGATAATTATTTTTAATGCCCTTATTGGACATGTTTGAAGTGATTTTCAGGTCCTTCAGGAATCAAATTGGGAGAAATTCTTTTTTTCCTGCATTTTGTTTTGCATCTTGGAATGTGATCTTTGGTAAATATCTGTGAGGTTTTGCACATTGTGTAACACTCTATGGAACCCCACCCCATAAATGCTGTCAGGATTTTATCAACATCAAATAGGCAACAAGAGTACAAGATGGAGGGGATTAAAAATCACTTTGTGGCTTTTGGTTATCTTCCTCTAACTATGCTACTAAATGCAGCTTTAAAAGACCGTCCTTTGGGGTTTGATTGGCCAGTCACTCCAATTTAATTCCAAACCTGAAGAGCTCCCCCTTCAGGCATCCTGGTTGCTAAACTACCAGTCATCATTGACTAAGTCAAGCAAGAAGACGCTGTCAGCATGTTAGGTATCTTTACAGGTTGTGTCCTGGTGAAGTACAATGGTGCTTTCCCCATTTTAACAATATTGAGATTAGCTAATTAT